TTAAATTAAATAATAAATAACGTACTTTAATCAACTACTTACATGATTTTTTTATTTGCTTTGAATGTTGATCACTTTCGTAGATATTCTGGACATTAATTTTATTCTAAATTACTTTTTTGTAATTACTTTCTACGATATTATACATTTAACATTTCTTCTTTTTATCAACTGCTTCCTAGTGTCCTACTGATTATCTGAAACCTGTGACGTTGCACAACACTAGCATATTATAATCATTTTATACAATTACATAAATAAAATCGGTTTCATACTGTTGAAAACATTGATTTCAAACTTTTGAACGCTAGTGTACACGTGTATCAGTGGTCACCCAATTCTGCTATTACAATGCAGACAATTACAGTTTGGCTCATACATGTCAAAAGTGTCATAAGTGTTAGTTAATACTAAGTTAACACTTGCGCACATGAACATTTCTTTTTCTAGAATAAACAGACTGAAGCTTATAAAAGAGATTTAATCTGTCTTATCTGTATTGTATATTTGTATGTTTTAGCTTTACTGTGACTCTTTCAGCAAAGAGCCCTAGCACAGCTGCCACCACTGTTTTCCATTTTTAGCCACTGATTGGAACCTGATCAGACTACCACTCGTATTCACAGCCAATGACACACCTAGGAATGACTTTTTCTCAAGAAATCTGGTTACGCCCATTGTAAATTAAAACATGACTGGTTGATTCCACTGTCCTTTCCGAATTCTGTTAGTGGTTAACGTGTGAGGTCTTCAGTCCAGCTCCTGAAGTCCTAAGCAATGGGATAGCTGACTTTATCTAGATGCTGTCAACAGGAGTTTAAATACCACAAGGCATTATGGTTCTATTAAATCAAAATGAACAAAAAATTACAACATACAGCATTACATAAATTTTTAGTTCTCAATTATTTTCAGCGCTTGAAGACCCCGAGGGTTCCTCACTGATATGTGTGCGTGCGTGTGTTAGTCCACTCACACCTCTCAGTACTGATATGTTTATGATAAATGAACAGTGTGTGAAAGCTATAAGCCTAATGAAACTCACACATCTTCATCTAAAAATCTAACCTAATGTTACAGGACAATGCCCCCTAAACAGATGTACATTTTATACAGGACCTGCAGCCTCTCAGTCTTGTTGTGTAACAATCATTCAAATAAATGAATAAATAAATGCATACATACATACATACTTCTATAGAAACCTCCAAAAGCCCAAAAGCCTTGCTTACTTAAGTCTGGACTATTCAGACTACGTTCTGTTGAGGCTCGATCCATCTTGAATTTTCTTTGAAATTTCTCTATTTGGACACTTCTACAGACTGATATTCACTGGAATGAATATCATATCATATCAATATTACTCAATAAACCTTCACATTAAAATGCCTCTTAGATTACCAAAAATACACTCAATCAAGTGTGTCCAAATTTTTAGCAAACTTCTTGCCATACTGACTCTAAGACTATTTTTGCTCTATAACTCTGAATCTGTCAATTTTGTATGTATTTGTAATGTAAACTCTACTTCACACAAACTGGAATTCATTTATCATTTCCAATTCATGTAAATCAATGATAAATAAATATTTTAATTTGTAATTCCCAGAGTTTCCTTCAGGGATGAACATGGTCTGTCTGTCTGTCTATCTATCCATCCATTCATCCATCCATCCATTTGCTCAGTCACTGAGGTCGGTGAAAGCGTGTTGAATTTTGACTTTGTGTTGATACTTTTAAAGGGAGTGTGAGAAACGACTAAATCACCATCAAAACATCAGGTCATTTCATTTCAGACAAGCATCAGTAATGCAGAGTGGAGAACAGAGAGTGGCCATAAATAGGGAGTCACACTTACAATAGAGTGTGCAAATGCCTAACTCTCCATGTGTGTCTGCATCAAAACATTATAAGCTGCTGGAGCAAAACACACAGATGGGCGTGTTCAATTCTAGGAGAAAGGGAAGTGCCTGTGGCTTCTACTGCTTATTGTTGGGGCTGTGTCTGATGTAAAATTGGAATAAGATTGCAAGCTTCTGCCCAAAAAACAAATCTCACTCCGACCCTGATAAGAACCTGCTGTTTGTGTTTTTTCCATTTTTTCATATCCGTCTGAGAGAAAGTATAGGTCTTTTCACGTTTGCTTTCTTCTATGCTCTAACCTATGTTGTCTTTTTGTTGTGTCAGCTGTATTGTCCCACAGTTGTGTGCCTTTTGGTGTTTTATCGGTATTGTTTCCCCTGAGGTGAGAACAACCTCACCTTACCCCTAGGGTCTCCGCTGACCCCAGACCCCCTTCCCCTTCTTCCCCAACCTTTTGATTGTCACCTACTTCCCCTCCCTCTTTGCTTCCTCCCCAGACCCCTAGTATCTCTACGTAAACCTTGTCAGACCATGTATTCATCAGACTGGACTGCTGACCAGACTAGACTAGAATGGACAGGTGACCAGACTGGACTGGTGACACACTGATGACCAAGCTGTGCCCGTGCATGATTGTCTGCATGCACATGAATAAGACTAGACTCCTGATACTGCTGATTGACTGTTGATCGACCACACTGTACCCATATTCTGTATGTGGAAATAAACTCCAGTCAACGCCGAAGGTCCAGTCTCCTGACTCTTCCTGCCGAATTTCTAACATGTCTGACCTCATTTGTTTATGACATACACCACCGTTCACCGTTCAAATGTTTAATCACCGTTTTCAATAATGTAAAACTAATTTGCAGATAAATGTAAAAAAATGATTCTAATATGAAGCTGGTACTCTACAGTGTTCAAATAATACAAGACTCAAAAGGGGAACCCTTATAACATCAAGAATGAACAAATAAAGTTAATATCCAGAATGAAGAAATAAAGAAACTTGATTCTTTATCCCAATCAACATTGGGAAAGAGGTTCTAATAAAATTAATATTTAGAATGAATTTCTAAAAAAAGTACTATCCAGAAAGATTCAGGATTTATGTTCTAAATTTATGTTTTAAATCCAAAATAAAAATGCTACAGCTGTCTAAATATGGAAATTTGTGAAGCCGTTCAAAAAACAAACAAACAAACAAAAAAACATACAGCAAATTTGCAGACATGCGCAGGTATATTCTAGATGCTAGTTATGGTCTGTGTGTGTGTGCGTGTGTCACAGAGTTTAATAAAAAGGATGATGATGCAAGTGTGTGGCAGTGTGGGGGAGACAGTGGACAAACTGTGAGGAGGCTAATGAGTGTGTGTGTGTGAGAGGACAGGGAAGGTCATACACACAGAGACACATACACACACACACACACACACACACACACACACACACACACACACACACCCCAAGCTCCTTACATCAGCCTGACATAGATGATGTATTAGGTACCATAATTCTTATTCTCTATTTCTCTCTCTCTCAGGCATACAAGTAAAAAAAAACCCTTAACACTGCACACAGACACACATACCATCACACGTCAGGTACTAAAAGACAGAGTAGAGGTGTAACCTTGGCCCAAAGTCACTTTCCCAATCTATAAAGCTTTACTCGGCCCAAAAATTTGGAGCTGTATAGACAAATCCAGAATGCACTAATATTAGCCAGTTCAAGTTATAACAATATATAGTTGTACATGTATAGTAGTATATGTTATAGTAAATGATATATTAATTTACTGTACAAAAATCAGAGAATACCCTTTCATTTATTTTTTCTTTAACATTAACATCAAATGTTCCTAAAACATTAACAAAAACGTGAAAAAAAGTGCAAGTTATTCATTTTTCAGCATTGACAAAGTAAACATATAGTAAACATATATTTAACAGTGTTCTATATATACAGTGATATTTGTATATAGGAAAGATGAGACACGTAAATTTGGTGTCTGAAGGCCATTCATTAGACATCAAAAGCTAAATATGTATAAGATTAAATCACTTAACCTTTCTTTTGACCCAAAAAAACTATTGCAAACTATTAAGTTAAGGGAGTTATTGAGCTCTAAAATGTGAAAATGTCCTTCACTGTAAATGTCCTTCAATAAAAGTGTTTTTCCATGTAGAAATGCACCCTAAAATAATGAATGAATGTACATTATTCATGCTACTGTCAGCAACAGAATACAACAGGATATAACAGGATATACAGCTGGGTGGACAACTCTTTAAGTTGCACTATTACACTGTAGTTAATGTTTTATTACACTGCGCACACACACACACACACACACACACACACACACACACACACACACACACACACACACATGCACACACACACAATTATGGATTATGAATTATATTATTTAATTGTAAGATTTGTGATGATTTTAAGCAAAACAACATTTTTTGTACTTTTTTTCTAAAACGTTTTTTTTATTAATGTTTTGTTTGTAATACCTGATACCTAATACCATTTTAAACCTGATTTTTCGGTTTTGTGTTTTTTGTGATCATTTATGTGTAATTGTTCCTCAGGACTGACTGACGCTTTTGAGCTGCTGATTTCTTTCAGCTGTAAAAGCTCATGGCTGGAGCAGAAATGCCAGCTTTGACACTCCACAAAGGTCAGTGCATTTAGTATGAGAGGGGACAGTAAAGGGCCAGCACTCAGATAGCACTCTATTCTTCCACAAGCAGATAGAGAGATGGAGAAAAGAGGAAGAAAGAGAAGAAGGAGAAGACACAGAGAATGAGGTCAAAAATTCATTATAGACTGTTCTGAAGCCCACTGATTCTGAAGCTAAAGCCTCTTCTTTGATCGCTGATGTGAAATGTGTGTGTCTAGACATAACAGTAAAGTACTACATATATTGTATATGTACGTACAGTACTTGTGGTTTGTGAGTGCATGCTTTTATATATATATATATATATATATATATATATGTATATGTGTGTGTGTGTATGTGTGTGTGTGTGTGTGTGTGTATGCACACATATGTATGAATATGTACATGTGAGAGTGCATATGTATATAAATGTATATATATTTGTATATGGGTGTCATACCGACTGTGCAGTGTTCTCCGGTCCAGCCCTGATGACACTCACACTTGCCATCCTTGCAGTTTCCATGTTCAGTGCAGCGGGGATGACAGGCTTTCACATCACACACTGACCCCGTCCAGCCCTCTTCACAGCGACAGCTTCCGCCCATACAAACACCATGAGAGCCGCAGTCTACTGCACACACCTCTACTCACATACACACACACAAAAGTGAGATATTTAGGTCGTATTCTCAGATCAATAATGAATGAAACATTCATGCATAACATTTTGTACAGCGTCAGGATGTGGAGTCATGTGTATATCCCACTGGTATTATATATGTAGGTACCTTTATGTAATAAGAAAATGCTCCAGATGTATTATATAAGGTATATCATATAGGTAAGCATCTATATGAAACTCCAATATAATAATATCTGTCATATATATACACTATATGGACAAAAGTATTGGGGCACTTACACGTTACACATACAGGAGTTTTTATGGCATCCCATTCTAAATCCATAGGCATTAATATGGAGTTGGTTTGCACTATAACAGCCTCCACTCTTTTCTACAAGATTGTGGAGCGTGTCTGTCGGAATTTTTGCCCATTCATCCAGAAGAGCATTTGTGAGGTCAGACACTGATGTTAGACGAGAGGGCCTGGTTCGCAATCTCTGTTTTAATTCATTACAAAGGGGTGGGGTTTAGGTCGGGGCTCTGTGTGGGCCAGTCAAGTTCTTCCACACTAGTCTCACCCAGCCATGCCTTTATGAACCTTGCTTCGTGCACTGTGGTCATGCTGGAACAGAAAAGGGCCTTCGCAAACTGTTCCCACAAAGTTGGAAGCAGACAATTGTCCAAAATGTTCTGGTATGCTGAAGCACTAAGATTTCCCTTTGTTGGAACTAAGCGACCTAGGCCAAGCCCTGAAAAATAGCCCCGTATCATTATCTCTCCTCCACCAAACTTTACAGCTGGCATAATGAAGCTCCCAGCGCACAGTTTTTGTGCTGATGTTAATATCAGAGGAGGTTTGGAACTGCAGTTATTGAGTCAGCAGAGCGTTTGTGACTTTTATGCACAAATCCACCTCAGCACTCAGTGACCCTGCTCTGTAACTTTACGTGGTCTGCCACTTCATTGCTGAGTTGCTGTGGTTCCTGAATGCTTCCACTTTTCAATAATACCACTCACAGTTGATTGTGGAATATCTAGGAGGAGAAAACTTTGACTTGTTGCAACGGTGGCATGCTGTTACAGTACCATGCTTTTATACACCTGTGGCAATGGGACTGAATGAAACACCCAAATTCAATGATTAAGAGGTGTGTCCCAATACTTTTGTCCATATAATGCAAGTACTTATATGTATGTGTTTCATATGTATTACATAAATGTAGGTATCTATGCTTAATAGTATGTCTCATATGTATTATTTACAGTACTTGGCAAAAGTCAGAGACCACCCTTCATTTATTTAATTTCCAGTCAAAATGGACAAGGTCAGCTGCATTATACATGTACACATACATACATAAGTGCCTACACATAATAATAACATGTCTGATTTTTAATCTAATTTTTATATAAAACACATGTAAGAACCTATATGCAATAATAATGTGGCCCACATATATTATATATGTGTAAGTATCTATATGTAATAAGAATTTTATTATTAACCTAAACCTAATTTTAACCCCAGGAATAAAAAGGAAATTGTTTAGTCATTTTAACTGAAATAAAATGAAACACAGAGCCTTTAAATCATTAAATAAATGTAACATTTCATATGGTCAAAAAAATAAAGTCTGTTCTATGTCTGTAACAAATGAACACAGCACACACACACACAAGAGGCAAAAGCTTACATTCCTCAAAGTCATCATGTCTCCTATCAGCTCAGAGAAAGACAGAGAGAGAGAGAGGGAGGAAGAGAGAGAGAGACAGAGAGACAGAGAGAGAGAGAGAGAAATAGAGAGAGAGAGAGACAGAGAGAGAGAGAGACTATGACAAAATCAGGAAAAAAAGAGAACATGCTGGTCTCCCGCTGTGTGTAGGCTGACTTAGAATAGACTGAGGTTAGTCTGGATACACTCTTCACACACTCCATTACACTGACAGCTCTGACCCCAGACTGTGTGTGGTGGTGTGCAGAAGAAGGTGGGGCGGCTGGCTGAGGTGTGTATGACCGTGTGTGCTTGAGCCAATGTGTGTGTGTGTTTGTGTGTGTGTGTGAGATCACAGTTTGTGGACAAATATGTGAACTGACATGCTGAACTTTCTGAACAGTGTATGTAGACAGACCTCCCTCAACTTCAATCAATCAACCTTTATTTTATATCGGAGAACATTGAGGGTGACCCTCATGTACAATGTTGCCGAGTTGATACAGAGCAAGGGATTGATAATGTGTAAGAACATATAAAATAATAAAAGTAAATTTAATAAATAAAAAAGACTCAAATCAGATAAGTTAAAAAAAAATGTGAAACATTGATAATAAAAATACATAAAAATACAATAAAAATATAACACAATAATTAAAACATAGCTAAAATGTAAAGGTTAATAAAATCAAATCAAAATAAAATAAGAGGAGAATAAGATAAAAAAGTAAACAAAAAATGCATTAAAATGACAAAAATAATAATAAAATAATCATAATTAAAATAAGAATATGAATAATAATAAATAAACTAACAAATAAATAATAAAATGATGAAAATAACATAAAAATGCTAAAAAATCAGGTAAAACAATTACAGGCAGAGTGGAGGTGGTTAGAGAGTAAAAGTTTAAAATGACCGACTGACACCAGCAAGCTGAGCTTTAGTGTTTCCTAGTTTTCCTAGTGTTTCCTAATTTTCCCAGTTGAAGAAGAGTGAGACCAACTGTATCAAATGCTTTTGATAAATCAATAAAAAATGGCAGCACAATGCTTCTTCCTGTCTATGGCCATATAGAGATCATTTAAAACCAGTGTGGTAGCAGAGGATGGTGCTGTGTCTTTCTCTAAAGCCAGATTGATAATTAAACAGGACAGAATTTTCGTGTAGAAATGATTTAAGTTGACTATTTACTAGAAGTTCTAAAGTTTTAGCTAAACAGGACAATTTTGAGATTGGTCTGTAGTTATTTACATCTGCCGCCTCACCTCCTTTATGCAGTGGAGTTACATGAGCTATTTTCCTGGGAATTCTGCATGATAAAATAGGGAGATTAAAAACATATGTTATGTATTCTAAAATAATTGGGGCTGCTAGATGCAGGAAGTAAGGGTCCAGCCCATCTTCACCAGTAGTTTTTCATGGATTAATAGTAGAAAGAGATTTATCTACTATGACTGGAGAGAAGGGCTGGAGTGTCCATGAGACCATGGGTCTGGGTAGCAGTAGAGTTGTTGTCAGTTTTACCTAACTGCAGATTTGAGTCAGTATTTTCAAAAATGTGACAAGCTGCAGCAAAATGTGTGTTAAAAGCTCTACAGATTTCCTTCTGATGAGATATCAGCTGATCATCAACTATAACGTTGGTTGGAAGGGTAGAGGAATTGTTGATGATGATTTTACGGTTTTCGAAAAGTTTTGAGTGCTTGTACAGCTGGTAATCAGGCCGAGATAATAATCTTATTTGGCTTTTCTAACTGCACAGGTATCTATTTCGTAGTTGTCTGAACGTAAGCCAGTGGTCTCTCTCCCCCATGTGTCTGGCAGTGGACCAGGTTTTATTTCAGGCTTTAAACAATGAGGAAACTTCACTAGTGAACCAGGGACTTGATCTGTCTCTTATCCTTTGCTTTTTGTGGGGGCCATGTTTGTTTACCACCGTTAGAAATGATTTGCTAAAGTGGTTTAGTGCCAAGTCAACATCTGGAATTTTTAGTGTAAGGTGGATTTCACTCATTGCTAAGTCAGATAGAAAAGCTTGTTCATTAAATGTTTAAAATTTCTTCTAACCACGATCCGAGAGCCTGTTTTGTTCTTGTAACTGTTTCTAATGCATCCAATCAGGCAGTGGTCACTAATGCCAAGGTCAAAGACTGCTGAGGCAGTAATTCTGTCCATTTTATTGGATAGAATTAAGTCTAGCAGGGTAGATTTGGTGGGATCCTTCATATTTGGGCATGTTGATTCCATGACTAATTGTGAGAGGGTAAGATTTCCACATATTTCCTTTAAGCAATGCATTAGAAAGCCAGTTAAGATTAAAATCCCCTAGGACCAGCATTTCAGAAGTGGTATATTGTGATAAAAGAGCGGCTATTTCATCAAGTGCAGAAGACGGAGCAGAGGGAGGCCTGTATATCCCAGCTAAGAGTTATTTTTCCCAAGGGACACTTTCAGAACTATGAACTTGAAGTGTTTTTTATTTGGAGACTGCATTTAATAAGGTGGCTTGTATAGTTACTCTTACATAAATAGCAACTCCGCCTCCTCTTGATTCTCTGTCTGTTCTATAAAGGTTAAAATCATTTAAGGCCACATCTTCATCACTTACAGATTGTCTAAGCCAAGTCTCTGTTAGTATTAAAATATCTGGATCAGATTGTGCAGTCAGGACTTTAAGTTGATCCATTTTATCCTCCTGAAGTAGGCTTCTCATGTTAAGATGAATTATGCCTAAACCTTTTCTGTTTTTAAAACTCTCAAGATCTGTTATAGCATTTACTGCAGGGTTTTCTTGTGAGTGTAAAGTAATTGGAGTTGCAGACTGTCTGGATTAATAAAACGATTAAAATTTTTCGCTTCTTTGTTATTTCTTTTTGATGAAGAGCTGGTCCTGGGTCTTCTACCCAAAACTACAGAAATACTTGAATACTTGAGTTTGAGGTATGTAACAGTCATCTGGAGTTAAAAACAGAGTAAAATATATTGTGGCCTAAAATTTGTGAACCCAGCCTATTGGGATGAATCCCATCAACTCTGTAAAAAGAAGGGCGGTTCCAGAAGAGGTTAAATTCTCAATAAAAGTTAAGTCTTTGCAGAGGCAGGTTTTTTGGAGCCAGGTGTGAAGGTTTAAAATGTGGCTAAAACGTCCTGAACCTGTTCCCAGTGACGGAATTGGTCCAGAGATAAAAAACAGATTTACCACAGTCTTGTACAGAAGACAGCAGGCTTGTGAAGTCCTTTTCCAGCAGTTCTGTGTTCTGATTTCTGATATCGTTACATCCCACGTGTTACTATCTTCTACACTGAGTCGTATTTCTTTAGGAGACTGGGGAGCTGCTGTGTAATGTCAGAGACTTTTGCACCAGAGACAGAGTGAACTTTGACTGTGTGGTGCTTGATGTTTCTGATGATTGAGTCACCTACTATGAGTGTGGAAGGAAGAGGGTAGCGGGAGTAACTTCTGGAGTAAACGAGAGAAAACAAACCAAACTCTGCTTCTATCACCACATACATGAACCATGTAGTCTACACAAAATCTGGATTTTAGCTGGCCATGTTTTCTCATACGGTGGTGGGAAATACTTGCATAATTGTACTTCTTTGCTATACTTCAGTATTGTTCTGGAAAATCAGCACTTTTTTGGAATACTTGTACCTTTTATCTTTCCACAAGAAGTAAAATGTTCAGTAACTGTTCAAGTAAATCAAGTTACTTTATTTAAACAGTACAATTACAGAGGGTTTCTATTATGATAACAATCTCTGTGTTACACAATTGTTAACCAGACAGAGCCAGTTTAAATAGGAAAAAAGAAGGATTTGGTGTTTTGACAAATTTTGAGCTGGTTTGTTATTACCTTGGCAGGTTTACACAATAATTATTAATAGCTGCAGCTGAATTTTAAAAAGGCCTAACTTTTTCCCACATCCAATTAGTTATCACAACTTTGACTGACATGCATTTTAGTCACTCTTGTTGAGACGTTGACAGCAGCTACAAAACATGGCAGAAGGCAGCAAGTATCAGTAAAATGACTGAAAAAAATGATAATCTACCTTTATGCTATCTATAGAATAGCATAACAGTGATTTCAAACAGACGACAGAAGGTGTTGCAGCTGATTAATGGACAGAGCCTTTACAGCAATGAGAAGCTGCTCAACTCACTCTATATTTCTTAAAGGTGTGACACATAAAGGTTTATTCTCTTGTACACAGCTGATGGAAACTTACTCACATTATGTTTTTGCAACATTTCAGTTATTCACTCAAACTTAATTTGACAGCTGGCTGTAAACCTGGCTTCTCTCTATCTCTCTTTCTCTCTTTTTTAAAGATGATGGTGGTTTGAGCTGAAAAGAGTGAATAAGACTCAATGAAGGAGCAGAGATACAGAAGGAATGAATGGAAGGAAATAAAGGGAAAATTCCCCAGCAGCCCTGGGCCAGGTGTGTGTCAGCTGGGGGTCTGTTTCCCCGCAGAGCGTGAGGTGTGTGTGTGTGTGTGCTGAGGTGATTGGCTGTGTTCAGAGAGCAGAATAAGAAAGACTGAAGTTCACCGTCTCTGAAATTCTTTGGAGTGAAAGAATGATGGAGAGAAAGAGAATAAAAGAGGAGAGAAAGTAAAACAGACCCTTTCTGTCTGCCCTCTATCTCTGTCTCTTCTCTCTGTTTTTTCTTTCTTGTCTCTCTTGTTTTCTCTTTTCTCACTCTCCTCTCTCTCTGCATTATCTTTCTTGCCTCTCTCATTATTCCTATGTTTTTCTGGATTTCTCCTCTCTCTCTCTTTTTTCTTTCTTGTCCTGCATTTTTTCATTCCCTCCTCTCTCTTTCACAAGTTCTTTTTCTTCTGTCTTTCTCTTCTCTGTTTGTTTGTCACTGTCTCTGCTCCCCTTGCCTATCTTTCTTTCTTTCTTTCTTTCTTTCTGTCTTTCTTTCTTTTTTTCAGCCTCTTCTCTATCTATTCATTCCTTCTCTCTCTCTCTCTCAGTCAATTGGTGATACAGGAGTTTTATTACAGCATTACAGCAGAGATAATTAATACAGGAACAGAAACTGCGGTCAACAGAGACATGAGAGAGAGAGGGGGGGGGTATGAGGCAGAAGGAAAAAAGAGAAAGAGGAAAGGAGACAGAGAGTATAGAGGGAAAGAAAGTGAGAGAGAGGAGTTGAAGAAAGACAGAAGAGGATTAGAGAAAGAGAGGTGTGATAGAGAGAGAGTTAGCTATAGGAGGGCTCTGGGGTGAAATAGAGTTTTCATTAGGCTCTGTTAGATGCTGGGAGAATGATGTCCCATAACTAACAGGCAGCCATGGGTGAGCCTTAAAACAGCAGGAGCCCAATACTGCTCTTATTACTGCCATTACACACACTCTCAGACTACACACACACACACACACACAGGCTCATGAAGTGCAATAGAAGACATTCACTGGCCACTTTATCAGAAACCCCTACTTTCTACCTTGTACACTGAGTTTCTGACCAGAGAGCTTTTCTTGCCTCGATATTTTTGGTCCATGGAATGCTCAACCAAGCAGTGACAATGTCGATGTCACTGCCATGCTGAGAATGATCTGCCTTCAAATACTATCGGGACAGCAGTCTTGTGGTCAGAAAATGACCAATGATGAACGATGATAAACTGTGCAGCAACAGATGAACTACAGTCTATATTTGACAACACTATGCTACTGTTCAAATGTTTGTAATCGTCATATTAATAACTTTCATGTACACTGTGAAAACTACAAACTATAAACCATAAGCTATTTTAGCTGTTTTATTCAATATTTGGAAATTTTGACAATGTTTGGAAAGAATAATACATTATCAAATGATAAATAATGCAGTAATTTTCTGTTTATGGTCATTTCTGGTCAAGATATCTGCCTTGATTACTTTTCAAATCCATGGCATCCTGGACATTCATTTCATTCTAATTTCATTCTGGATATTACATTTCATAATAAAATTAATATATATTTATCTGCAACAAACTTGGTTTTATATCACTGAAAATTGTGACTCCAAACCTTTAAAGATGTGTAGTTGTTTCTAAGTAGCCAGTGAGTGGAAGAACAAGGTAGGTGTTTCTAATAAAGTGGCCAGTAAGTGGAAGAACAAGGTAGGAGTTTCTAAAAAAGTGCCCAGTGAGTGTAAACGAAGGACGAGAAAGTAATAGATAACAGAGAAAAGGAAAAACAGAACATTACCAACTGAACAGTCTGGTCCAGTCCAGTTTGCATCACAGCTGCAGGTGGCACTTTCAGGCTGAAAGGTGCCATGGCCTGAACACTGGTCTGGACACATGGTCTTCAACACCTCACAGCTGGAGCCTGACCAGCCCGGATTACAATGGCATTCTCCATGGATACACACTCCATGAGACGAACATGATGGGTCCAGACAGTCCACTAGAGAGAGAGAGGGAGACAGAGAGAGAGAAAACAACATAGAAAGTGTGTATTTGAGTTTGACATGAGTCAACATTTTTAACAATTTAATTGTAACTGTAACAGTAATTATACATAACTGAACTGTGATTAGCATCTCATTTTTAAGACAAAATTCTTATTTTCTTATATTCTTATTTTCCTTTAATCTTCCACCGAAATAATGACTTTTACGTGCTCCTAAAACATCTTTGGATTTTTTGTTTACATCCCTGTGCACGAGCAGGCAGAGACAAATAATGTTAACCAGTAATATCATGTTTCTCCTCCCCCTCCCACCACTATCTATCATCAAAAGGACCGAGTTTCATCCAGAAATTTGGCACAGTTTGTAAGGAAAATGTGTTATGATTTGCCAGTTGTGCTGACTTTAATATGTAAGAGCTGAATATTTACTGACCCAGTCCTGTCACACTTCAGCACATGTACAGTGAACTGCAGCCTTCTAATTCAATGAGTTTGAACCTTACAGATAGATTCTCTCTCTCTCTCTGTTCCAGTTCCACCACACATGCACACTCTAGAAGTGTATGAGTGAATGGGAGATGTACATTTGTCTGTGCTGCTGACCCCAGTACACTGTCACAGTGGAGGGAACATTAATTGCAACAACAGTTCACGTCCTTTAGTTTAATGCCTTAAAGTCTCAGAGTCTGTGTATCACTCTCAGAACAACTTAGTATGTACTGAATAATTCCTAATAGTTACAAAACAATAGTAGTTATTAAACACTTAATTGTAGTTATTGGAATCATTAATAGTAGTTGATGAATAATTCATTGTATTTAATGAAGGATTCCCAGTAGTTGATTAATAAATGGTAGTACTTACTGAATTATTCATAGCACTTATCTTTCATCAAAACGTAATGACCTTTACCTGCCTCTAAAACATCTTCTGATTTTTTGATTATATCCCCATGCACCAGCAGGCGGAAACAAATAATAGCAATAATATATAAAAATAATAGCATCTGTCATAAGAGAATGCTTAGCTAGCTAGCTCATAGTAGTCACTGAATAATTCATAGTAAATAATTAAATAATTTGTAGTATATACCTAATAATCCATTCTGAATAATTCATAGTAGTTACTGAAAAATTCCCAGTACTTACAGGAATAACTCATAGTAAATACGGAATACTTGGTAGCAGTTAAGTGATTTGTAGTGGATACTGAATAACTCACAGGAAAAGAAGGCATAGTAGATACTAAATAATCCATAGCACTACTGAATAATAAGCCTTAATGTCAATAACAGAAAATAAAGTCTAAGGATTAAGGATTTCATTCATCATTAAGGGAATATGGGACTACACCATCTACTTAAGTCTATCTTCCTCAAAAACAGAGACAGGTCTGTGCGTGTGTGCACATGTATATGTGTGTGTGTGTGTGTGTGTGTGTGTGTGTGTGTGTGTGTGTGTGTGCGCGTGTGGGCGTGTGCTTGAGTGTGTGTGTGTGTGTGAATGTTTGCAGACCCAGGAGAAGCCCGAGGCTGGGTAAGCTGTAATTCCAGCATGTGTGTGGGGTTGATGAGACTTAATCAGGTCCACTGACCGTGTGCTATTTCATCATGGACAGAAAATACAATTCACTTTCATTTAATTACATTAGTCCCCTCTTATCATATTGTGTGTGTATGTTGTTACAACACATGCACATACACAAACACACGTACGGGAATATATAAAAAAGAAAAACAAAGAAAAAAAATACAAATATAGATCTACATGAGATCAGTCAGTCAGTTATGTTAAGTGTTAAGCTAATTCTGATAATCAAATATAATTATATTGGTATAATAACATTACACTACTTTTTTCAAAATAGAAATTTGTGTGACTTTTTACTGTGCTTATGTTCATTTGCATTTATTCTAATGACATATGGTGTTTTTTTAAACCACTAAAGACACATTTATTGCCAACGGTTGATCTATATGCATAAAAACTCTAAATGGATACATATGAACTGTCGGTCAGCTATCTAAGGCTCTTACAGATGTAAAATAATTCACATTTAATTGTATTAGCTTCCACTTCTCTTTCAGTGTGTGTGTGTGTGTGTGTGATTCAGAGAGCAACAAGCACAAAACACCCTGCAGCTTACACATGAAATGCTGGTTAGTTTTGCTAGTATAAGAGCTAAGAATGAAGCTAGTTCTGCTGATTGGAATGCATTTAATTACATTAGCCTCCCATTCTCTTTCTGTGTGTGTGCCTGGTGTGTGTGTGTGTATTGTTCAGAGAGCAACAAACATAAAAGCCCTGCAAATGTAGCTACACGTGATCTGTCGGTCAGCTATGCTAATGTACAAGCTATGTGTGAAGCTACATGAGGTAAAATCAATTCTGATTCAGCCCTTTTTCCTTGTGTTCTGGAGGCCACTGATGGAGGCTGCTGTATCAATGAGGGACATCAACGCAATTATGTGCTCTGTGAAGTGGAGAACAGCAATTGTTTCTGCAATAGTCAACTATTAACTCGTGGCTAATGATTATTGCAGGGACAGGGAGAGATCAAAGCAGTGCAAAAAGAGAGAGAGAGGAAGAATGAAAGAGAGAGAAAAGACCTTTGATGGCTACAGATGCAACTTAGAGTCCTCATTAAGTAGAGAGAGTGGAAAAGCATCGTAGCAAAGATCACACTTCTCCCTCTCTCTCTATGTCTCTCTTTTAGAGTGATTGTCTGACCATCTCCTCACAGATAGAGGCAGAAAGCTTTTCAACAAGAGCCTTCTTTCTGTGAGAAAAATCAATGGCTCCTCTGACCCAACGGTAATCAGGGAGCGTGTTTATGACACACCATCTTTGATGGCGTAATGAAATAGGGCTTTAATGGAGATGCAGCAGATGACAGACGCTTTTACACAAAAGCTTCCGATGGGTGCTGTCGGCCCCTGTCTTAAAATCTGCCCATAAGAAGTGCTTGATAAAGATTACAGCTTGTAATGATTAAGATCTTGACATGAAAGTGTCAAGCTGGAGGACTAAACCTTGCACCACTTTAAGGTAGTAGAGCTAGTTCTATTTATCAGTCATTTACCGCACATATACACACACTATACTTGGTTATAGTTGTGTGTGTGTGTGTGTGTGTATATATATATATATATATATATATATATATATATATATATATATATATACACACACACACACACACATGTACTGTACACTTAGAAACCAACAATGACGTGGTGGTGTGTGCAGTTCTGTTACAAGTGTGTCAGACACAGCAGTGTTACTGGTGTTTTTACACATCAGTGTCACTGCTTGGTTGAGAGTGGTCCACTATCCAAAATATCCAACCAAGAACAGCACTGATGAAGGGCTACAGGTAGAGTAACACTAAATGTGCATCAACATATATGCAACATTCTCTTACACCAGCTACATGGAGCTACAACAGCAGGGTTTCTCTTAAAGTGGCCGCTAAGTGTATAACTCACCAGATCATTATCAAACCTTTCCTGAGTTGAATGAGGAGTGTTAACACACAATAAATTGTGAGAAAGGCTGTGCCCCTCTAAAACTGAGGCTTCAATTAGCAAAAACTTAACTGAACTGATTAGGCAGAATTGATGATGTAAGTGCTTCCTTACACTCCTCACAGTTGTCCCCCTTGTAGCCTGTGTTGCAGGCACAGGTGCCCATGATGCAGATGCCATGGCCTCCGCAGTGAATGTCGATGCACTGGTTGTTGGGGACATCACACTCTGTCCCCTTCCAGCCACTGTAGCACAGACAGCGCCCCCTGGAGTACTGACCATTACCACTGCACAGTACAGGGCACGCAGCTACGAAGAGACAAAGAATGGTTTTCAGACAGTGTAGTTTGGCAAGTCAAAAGTCAATACAGTCTCACTAAACATTTTGGTTATGCATAGTTGAAGGCTATACAATCTATTATGATAATTAAACAAAAATGCTTTTTGTCTCAGTAACCTCTAGATTCTTCTGAAACTGCAATGTTGCAATTGCAATTTAAGTGTTTAAGTGAACAAACAAAATCTTTCAGAAAATGATCTTAATTGCTAATTTGCTTAATTTGCTTAAAAGGTAAACAGATTTAATTCCAAGTAATTTAGGATCATATCTACTGGTCCATTCTTCTTGAAATGTTGACACTATATAAAGGACAGTTGGTGTTTTTAAATGAAAACTGAAAAAAATGACAGCAATTTTAAGTAGTTGTGTATTTTTAATGTAAATCAGAAACAATGGCTGTGATTTGAGATTTGACACAGATCAGACAATCAGAGAAATGATGCTAATTGTTTCTTCCTGTCTGTAATAAGAGGCAATCTGAGACAGTAAAGCAGACAAAGCAGAACACTTGGTCAGGCAGCTGCACGCCATCTAATAACAATCTGAAACTAATTATAGAATCTGACATCAGATGTCTGCTTCCTCACAGACACAACTGTGTGTGTGTGTGTGTGATTACCCCGTGAACAGTCAGGCCCAAGAAACCCTGGGAAACAATGACACGTTCCTGAGCGACAGTCTCCGTTACCATGGCAATTGTGTGGACACTCTGTGAGGGACTCTGGTAGAAAAACAGAGAGAGAGAGAGAGAGAGAGAGAGAGAGACATAAAGAAGAGACATAGAAATAGAGATAAAAGACAAAGAGAGAACAAAGAAACGGAGAGGAAGAGAAACGAAGAGAGGGTTGTAGAAAATGTGAAAGAAAAAGAAAAAACGTGGGGGAGAGAGAGAGAGAGACAGAGAGAGAGAGAGAGAGAGAGAGAGAGAGAGAGAGAGAGAGTGTTGTTAATAAAGAAGGCAGTTTGTTCAAATGAAGAACATTCAGAGAGAGAGAGAGTCTGTGTGTGTGTGTTCAGTCTTTAATTAAAGGGGCAGCAGCTGCTTGATGAAGCTGAAGCTACAGTGCCCACTCTGCCTTAATGAACCAATCACAGAGCCATTACAACCAATTACACACACACACACACACACAAACAAATACGCTCACAAAAGGAGACAAGAACTTTTCAAGGATTTTGCTGTAGTTGAATACCACAATATGTACTACCATTATTCTATACAAGCACACAACTACAAAGTACAGAAACGTTTTGGGGTCAACTGGTAAAGACACCTAATTTCTGATTCATTAAAACCAAGCATAAATAAATAGACAGTTCAAAGGTCAACTTTAACAAGTTATGCACGTAGACATTCTCTCTGCAACTAGCTGCTGTCACATACACTATGTCTCTAAAAGTTTGTAGACATCCAGAGTTTCTTCTGGAATCAAGGGTATTCACATTGAATTTGCCCCCCTTAGCTGAAATAATGGCCTCTACTCTTCTGAGAAGGCTTTACACTAGATGTAGGAAAATTGCTGTGAGGATTTGGTTATTTTTATTCAGAAGAGTAGTACTACTAGTACTAGTAGCACTCTGCTTTAACTGGTCACATTCAGTCAAAAAGTATCAAGACAGCCCTTCTAATTTGTGATGTTAGCAGAGCTGATCCCGACGTCCCCAGGGCCCTAAGCAAAATTCTGCAAAGTGGTCCTCCTACCTGACCTGTCAGCATCGACTGGAGGGGTATAAAGCCTCCCCAGCATGGCCTGTGGAGCAATGGAAATGGAATGAGGGAGCTCTATCCAACATCTTTGAGATGAGTGTCATATGTAATCTAACAAATCATCCAACATCAACTACTGACCTCATTCAGCGCTCTTGTGGCTGAATGCAATCAAATTCTCACAACAATGTTTAAACATCTACTGTAAAGCATTTCCAGAAGGGTAGAGATTTACTAGTAGAGAGTTACTGCACCAAAGAGGAGACAAATGTCCTATTAACCCTCTTACATGGCCAGGACCAGCCAGTGGCCCTAAAGTTTTTTATAATAAGCTTTATTATGTCCTGAGACTGGGATTTTAACAGGTTAATAGCACTGATTTCAGAAGAAACACTGGATAAGCAGGTGTCTACAAACTTCTGGACAAACAGTGTATATCCACTAAAACAACAACAGAGCATGATGCAGAATTTATTATTGTATATAAAAAAATGTTCTGCTGCAGGCTCGGGTATCCAAGAGCAACACTACATCTCCTCGTCAGTGGCGAAGAATGGCTATAACAGCCTCAGCTGTCAATACACTCATTAAGCAGGGGAGAAAGGTGTGTCTCCAGGAGAGCGGGCGGCGCAGCGTGTGACAGGGTAATGAAGTGAACCGCTCTGCTGTCGGCTGCAGTTATTACAGAGTGTCCACTGGCCTCATGCACACGCACACACACACACACACAAATGCTCAATCAATTTTCATTTTCAAAAGGTTAACTTATAAAACGGACACGAGCACACGCTGCAGCCCCTCTGCTAATTTCCTACATGTCGGGATCGGGTGATTGAATTGAAGAAAATTACTCCGACTGAAAGCTATTCTGATGACTACACAACAGAGAAAAAAGAGAGACAGAGAGAGAAAGAGAGAGAGAGCAGAGAGAGGGAGTTAGAGAGAGACAGAGGAAGAGAGAGAAGGAAGAGGAAGTAGAGAGAGAGAGAGTAGAAAGAGAGAGAGTGAAAGAGAGAATGAAAAGGCCTGTGGGTCACTAGGCAACGCTTTGATGTCGCTCCTGCCCACCAAACCACTTAAAGCTCAAATCGATAAAGTTCTGATGAGCATTACACACACACACACACACACACACACACAGGTGCTGTAATGGTGCTGTTTTAAAATGATAGTTCTGTGAAAAATCTACTTTACCCTTACACTCCAAATGTAGTTGACCAGCTAAGACATGTTTCGTGTCGGAAGTTCCTTCTTTAGTTTTAGACTAGAGCTACAAGTATAATGTAGATAATAAATAGAAGCAGACACCAAACTACTTATCTACATTGACTAATCGTCTATATTTGGGGAAAGAGGGGGAAACTCGATGATACTTACCTATGACAATGGTGTTGTAGGAGACTTGTTCTGTGTTTTTTCCATCATTGTAGAAGGCCAGGTGCCAGGTTCCTGAATCCAGGAAGCGGATGAATTCGGCCTCGTGGACACTGACTGACCGCGCTCTCCTCACTGATCCCTCCACCTCAACTAGTCCTCGCTTCTCCTTCGCTATCAGTCGACTACCATCCAGCAGCTCTACAAAGTCATACTGCACACACACACATTCAATTTAATTCAATTCAATTCAATTCAGTTCAATTCAATTTAATTCAACTGATTTGTTATAAGTGTTTTTGTTACTAGCCAGTACATAAAGCATGCTGTCTGTATACAGGTAAAAACAGGCTTGCCCAAGAAGTGGGCCACTTAAAGCATAATAATAATGATAATAACAGCAATAATAACAAGAAGGAGAAGAAGGAGAAGAAGAAGAACAAGAAGAAGAAGAAGATGAAAAAGAGAAGAAGAAGAAATGCACCACATACTGTGACGTTAAACTTTAGTTTCAAAATTTTCAATCCATACTACATTTGTGTTTATACGTAGAAGAGGAGATATTTTATTATAATTTAAATTTGACTGAGCTATCACTGGTGGTGGAATTTTGTTTGGTGAAAAGAAAAAAATCATGTTTCTTCTTGTTTTTTAACCTGTTGATATGCAGTGTAAAACAATCAAAGGCAATCTATTGTCTAACTATGTAATTAATTATTATAATTACATTTAAGCATAGTATAGCAAAGTATAGCATAGTATAGCAAAATGACAGCAATGCCTAGACTTTAAATAGTTAAATAGAGGCAATCAGATCAAATAGTGGAAAGACTTGTGACTTATGTACACACACATATGCATAAAAAAGATGAAATTCACACAAACACACGCACACGCACACACACACACACAAAAGATGAAAAAGTTCACTGAGGCACAGATAATAACCCACTTATAGTAAACGATCATTTTCAATTACATGCCAAATCAAAACACAGTTGAGCTGTTTTCACTCTACATTCCTATTATGGCGCTACAACAACCACGTTAAGTTTACATAACCAGCGGCATGCAAATTAGCTGCATTAAGTCAGGTGTAATTAATCTACACCCTTAAACGTATAGCATTAATCTAAAGCGTTTAATGCAGCTAATTCATGTCACTCGTTTAGAGGATCACGCGAACAACAATGAAGCTCACGTTGACACGAACAGTTATTGCAATTTCACCATGACCTCCACACATTCCCTGCGGTCCTAATTATTGAATGTTCTTCTGGTGTAACAGAGCAACACAGAGCCTGTCAATAACACACTAGCGACTGATTCACGTGCAAAAACCCATAGTCACGTTTAATCGCCCATGTGCCAACCTGCATGTTATGTCTGGACAGCTCTGATGCCAAGTGAATGTAAAATATGACAGAAAATTAGAGCTGTAATGAGTTCCATTTGCATTTTATATTTGAATTTTAATAGTGTGATTTTCATTAATTTTTTTAACACTATGCAATTTGGACTACGTAATCCATTTAAAATAATATTTATTTTGTATGTGTCACACAGATGTTTTAGTAGTTTTTGTTATTGTGTAACTGAGCTACCATTAGCATGGCGGTCATTTCTAACCTGCCTAATTTTTAATTAGCAATAACAACAAAGTGATTGTGTGGATCATATATATTATTATTATTTTAAATTAATAGAAGGCATATTGTTCTCAACAATTTCTCTAGGGTAAAAACAGAAGTTGATACACGTGTATGTACATAAGTTGTACATTACCAGTAATTACACTATTGTTAAATAATTGTTAATGTGTAACTATACAGTTATTGGTGACATTATAAAGTCCAAGTATCTTGTTTTTAAGTAAACAACACACCTATGAATTTTCAATAATTAGTGTCAGTGAGGCCTAACTGACTATGCCGAGCAATCACTGCAGCCTTACTTCACTGCCTGTAGAGTATAACCAGAGACATTAAAAATAAAGAGACTGCCCATCTTATCTTAAATTAGGAATCTTATCCTACAACAACTTATCTCAGGTTAGGAAATCTTAACCTGCTTGACTGAAGTCGACAATCGACTGTCATGTCTATTACCTAGCAAATTATATGTAATCAAAATAACGTCAAAAAAGTAAATTACAGTTGCCACTATCAGTATTAAAACGGTCAAAACAAAACTGAAGTGCAATAAAGTGGAGATTCCCCCTTGTGCTGTTTATTAGATCGTTGCTTCTCCCCAGTTTCAGTTTCCATTTCCCTAATGTTTTAGTCGTCCTGCGAGCCACATTCTCTTTCTTGAGTTTTCATTAATATTAACAAACAAAGATAATAAGAGAGCTGGAGACTGTGTCTGCAGTGTCTGAGATTTTTAAAACACAGAGTTAGAAAAGGAAAATACATCACAAGTGGAAGCACTGTTTTGCAGTAACCTATGAATAAATGTAATGTCATTATGGTAGCAGTGAAGTATGCTGCCTGTAACAGCTGCCTAAAAACAATAGAAATGAATGGTTAAAACAGAAGTTAGGATACTTGTCTTAAAGTTAGGACAGAATTTAGGAAATTTTGTTTAGTTAGGATGCTTTGGTAATACTGTTTTCTTATCTGGAGTTAGGACACATTTATGAACTTAAGAACTGTTGTTCTGTAATAGCTTCTGTCCTAAATTCAACTGAAGTTGTCATGGTAACGAAATAGATGAGATTGTAAGATAGCCCCAGTCTTGTATGGCTGGAAATAACTGCCTGGTGGCACTGCAAAGATGGCTGCTGCGTGAACAGACTTTCCTATAAGTGCTTTGGTATAACTGACCATGAAAGAATTCTTTCACTATTATTGTGGTGAAAAATTTCGAAGTATACACCTGCATTTAGCTTTTTGTATGTATATATATTTTTGAACTAACAGTATCACAATAAAAGAGGACCTATATAAAAACTTCAATTAGTAAAGCTGTGTGTGTGCATGTGTGAAGTCACTCTAATGTTTCTTGAACACTCATTTATGAGCCGTTTTTCAATGACGCTTTTATTCTTGTGAGAGACGGAAGAATAGTTTTAAAGAGACTCTCTACATTTCCTAGGTGCTTGATGACAGGTTTTTCTTTGGCTTTTGACAAGCTTTTCATAAAGAAAGTGAGAGAGAGAGAGAGAATTCTAACCACAACCAAGGTCTCTGATGAGTTTACCATTCTTCACTCTCATTTTACAGCACATTAAAAACACATATCTCTCTCAGACGACTGAGTATCTCGAGGAAAACAGAGAGAGAGAGAAACAAGGAGATGTTTCAATGTGCAGAAAAAAAGAAGCAGAAGTCTGCAGACTTCATCTTTCCTTTTGGTTTTTATCTGCTCATCCATTCGTCAATATCCCTTCATCCCGTCCTCTATACAGTCTTAAAGAAACATATTGATTCATCTGCAGCAATTAAAGGGACAAACTGGCAGTGTGGCTACGGCTATTGACTTCTATTGTGGAGTTTTCAGTTCCCCATTGCCTCCAATAAGAGCCGCTGATGATGTGCCAGACAAGGGCGTCACTGCTGTCAGAAAACATGACGTTCATCACAAAGGATGGAGCCCATTAGCAACATTATAATTTTTTTAATCAATGTCTTCAAGGATAATAATGGAATGAATCAGTACAATGATTATAAAGACAGTAACAACATTAACATTAAAATCTGCCCCCAGGGTTGCATGTCCACCTTGATCATAGTAATAGCATCACTATGTGGAATGGAGCATTCTTTGTTCTACCTTTAAAAACTTACATGCTGCCTTTATTATTGGATGCACCATGATAGTTAAATGAGTTACATGAAAATGTACCTATTTTCAGGTTTGAGCCACGGTCAAAGCCGTTGTAAAATCCACAATGTACCCACACCTATGACCGCCTCACAACAACTGAACTCTGTATTACTGTGCCACGGCACGAAAAAAACCCTTGCGCTGTTGCTAATAATCCTTGACCCTCATGATGCTCGCATGGACCTCCAAGTATATTGATGAAGTAAGAACCTGTTTTTTGTTTAAACTGAGGGACTTGCGACTTATGTTCTTAACTCCAACTAGGCTGGTTAGCTAGCTAACAGGCTAAACAACACCATCATTAATACCACAGGCTTGAATTAAAGCACTATAATTAACTGGAAAACAGCAGTATAAAAGTCAAAAAAATGTCACTTCAATGACTTGCACGCTTCAAATGTCATGTTTCAGTCAAAAGCAGCATCAAACCTAGGCTGAATCCCAAATGCCTCCGTACTCCCTAAATAGTGTGCTATGAAAGTTTAGAAATTCTAGCCTCTACAGCCAAATAGTGCATCACTTATTGAGTATGGATGTGGCTGAGTCCCAAAGGACTATTTCGTAGCTGTATTTTGCACGTTTGGGGCGCAGGATCCAGTACTTACATTCCAATGTAGTGCACTATGTAGAGAGCAGGGAGCCATTTGAGATTCAGCCCCAGCACGAGAAGAGGGTGCCACTGAATTAATCCTAAATAAGACTCGCAGTGGTAATTTGTGACCAAAAGTACCTATAAAGGTACTTGCATTAATCATCCTTACAGAGTAGATGACCAAATAGATGCAAAAATAACAGCTATCATCAGTAGGTAGTTATAAATACAAGTGGTACTTTTTCTGTTTTTTAATTAATTCTCTCAGTAACCACTCACAGACAAGGACTAATTATTCATCTTTGGAAGGCCTTACAAATTTTGAGTTGTTCATGCAGGGAATTTTATGCTAATAAATGATTTGGCCGGACTGGATTTAGAACAGTGATTTGCTATGGATGTTTAAACCTTCTAAGGCCCATCACCAAACAGTGCTGGGCTTCTGAATGCTGGTTACCTGGCTCAGGTGTATTAGGATCGAGTGTGAAACAAAACATGCAAAACTCTGGTCTGGAATGGATTTTATTGTGACATAGGGCTGCAATGTCTGAATAGGAGTGTATTTGGAGAGAGGTGTTTTACCTGTGTATGTGATGGTGGCAGGCCCTTGCGGCCGTACACCCCTACCAGGGCATCTCTGGGCACTGAGATGTTGAACTTTAGAGATTGTGGTTGGTCGATGAAAAGCTGCGAACGCCAGAACATTCCAGGGGGAACATCCTGCACAGCCCTCCGACCAATGTCCACCTCTCCGGTATCAATAGTGTTATTCTCCTGCACATACACACCCACTTTACCTAAAGAGAGAAAGAGAGAAAACAAGAGAGAGAGAGATCCTTAGACATATTTCCAAGTAATTTAGCCCCTATAAAACCCTTTAAACCCCTTAAAAGGGCCTGTATGTGGGTACACTCTCATAACTATCGAACTTGTACATTAGTCTAATAGTAGTTACTGCATTATTCATTGTACATACTGAATTGTTTGTAGTGAATACTAAATAGTTCATTATAATTAATGATTAATAAGCCTCAAGATAAATAACTGGACAACAACCCTGCAATTTATGGGGTTTAACTAAAACAAAACAACCGAAAAACACATGAAAAATGAATTTCCCTTTTAGCAACAACAAAATTCATGAAAATGTGATCATATTTTGAGGTTATGCATTTACAAAAATGGGAATAGAGAGAAAATAATGAAACAGTGGATTTCATAGAGACAAAAAACAGGACACCATTTTCTACACATTAAAGCTATTGTAATTCCTCTGTGTGTATGTGAGTTTGTGTGTGATTTCCAAAATGACTGATTCCACACTGGACAGGCAGCTGTCTTCTCCAGCCTTGGCATGGTTTAGCTAAGGGCTTAATTTAAAATTTGATTTTTAACTGGAACGATGTGTGAGTGTTTCTGCATTTCTCAGTCTGTTCTGGTATAGTCAATGCAGAAACACCAGACCCAGGAAGTGGATGCTAATTACTAAGTTGCTTTTTGGAAGGGGAAAGATTGTATACACCGGTGGGAGTGTTACTGCTGCAAACGCTGGTCACTGCAGCATTCAAATTAATATTTCAGCTATAAAATGTACAAAATTCAGTGTAATTTTGTCTATGTGTCCAGTGTGTCACACAGGGTCAGAGACCACACAAGCAAGTCAATTTGAGATTCCCTAACAACACTAGCTACTGTGCTCTTGTAAATGAATTTAATCACTTATAGTAAGATCCTACAACAGGTAGCTAGTGCAAGTAGGAAGCTGCATCTAGCTACGCTGTGTTAACAGTGGTTTTTAACCTTCATAATAGGCACTGTTAACACATTTAGAAAAGCTTAAATAACCTACTTGCCTGGAGTTTTGACTGGGATGTGAAGAAGAGGAACACGAGTAGCTGACATATACATATTGCTAACTCTGATTGGTACTGCGGCTGATCTAACATCACCTGCACCAATGAAGTCTCAGTCAACTCAAATCGAACAGAAGAAAGCAACAGTTTAAGTGCACAGTAAAAATACCAATAATAGCTGGAAGAAAAAAATGCAAAAAAGAGTAGATAGGAGCTTCAACCACTTAAAATTCCAGGCTTATTACACAGTAAGTGTTATTATTCAATAACTACATGGACTATGCAAACTGGCTGAGTTATTCTTTGTTTGTAGAAGTGTGTAGTAGACCCGCAGGTAGGCTATTTAAGGGGGTAATTAATAATGGTCCTAAGTGATATAATTCATGAAGTGAAGTGCGTAGTATCTTGTCCATACATTCAAGACGTAAAATAAATACCAGAAGGAGTGGACACAGAGCAGATTTTATTTGATGTGTGAGTGAGAAGCAAGTGAAGAGTGGGAAATCGAAAAACCCAGAGCAGAGCTGGAGTGACAACAGAATGCTTTGAGCGAACAGTGGAAATGCCGTTCAACTTCCACTCCAATGTACTCTGACTGGTACTGCTTAATTTATAACTCAGTACTGACTCGAACTTGCTCATATGAACTAACAGTCATAGAGTATCATAGACATGGTTTTACAGCGCTTTGCTACTAAAACTCTACATACATATCTGAAAGCTGAGCTTTTGCTGTAGCCAACACTGACTTAACTTGGATGAGTAAACATCCTGATGCTGATGTTTATTTCTGACAGAAATGGCTACATTGGCAGAACGACGGCATGCTCTAAACTGTACCTACACTGTGCATGAACAGTGTCCTTTCAATGTGATGTAACAACCACTTCATAATGTTTCTACAGTGAAGAAGTCACTGATTCATTTGAAATTTTGAACACTTTCATTTTTAGCAGGGTTTCTGTTTATTTTGTCCTTGCCAAACCATTAGTGAAACTGGCTTTACTGTACACAGAGATAGAGAGAAAAGCAGAAAATTTTATAATGAAATTATAAAAATTATATAGGAACATTCCTTCAAATAAAAACAAGTGGACTACCAAAAATAAACAGACCCCAGCCAAAACCGACTCTGGCCTGAATTTTGCCCAAAACCTGATGTTTTGTTGGGTCATCAGGCTGGGTAGCAGCCATCTAGACTTGGCTGATCAACTACAACTGGAGAAAAGGGGGAACTGAGAAAATTAGATTTTTGACCCAACCTTTTTAGAAGGGAAAGATTTTAAGCACCTGCAGAAGCATTGCGGCTGGATGATAATATAGCCTTAATGAGCTAGTAAGCTAACGTCTAGACATCATACAAGACACATTCAACCACATATGTGTAAGTGACTAGTATTTGGAGTACTATGACAGGCTGCGTAGAGAGAAACTAAATAAAAATAAACTGAGTGCATAGACTCTTTAATAAAGACCAGCTGCCATTAATATGCTATTAATTATTTCACAAAGGGCTTTCCAGGCTGGCTGACCACAAGCCTGTGGCTAATGGTAGACACATGAGCACACATTGGAGTGGATGAAAGCGCAATAAAGCCTACTAGGTCCCCTGCGGCCTCTACACCTATTCTTACATTTAGTTTAATTATTTCTCACTTGTAGCTTACTAAAACAATCTGTGGAAAGTGCAGATTCCAAACTTTCAGTCTATCATACATTTGTGATGTGACATTTGTAAGTATAATCCTGTTTCCAAAAGACTTGGGACGCTGTGCAAAATGTGAACAAAAAAAAATGCAATGATGTTCAAATCATTTAAACCATAAATTGAATTTAAAATATAATAGAGACAACATATCAAACATTGAAAGTGAGAAACTGTATTGTTTTTTGATGAATCTGATGCCAAAACAGTATTTATGTGTTAAAAGGCAGCACAAGACTGGTAAAGTTGTGGAATGCTAAAAAAGACAAGGGGTACATCTTACAACTAAATAGATTAATTGGTAACAGGTAAGTAAAATAATTGGGTATAAAAAAGCATCCCATAGATGCTGAGTCTTTCAGAAGTAAACATGGACAGGGGGTCACCACTCTGTGAAAGACTGCGCAGGTAAACAGAACAACCATTGAAGAAAAATGTTTCTCAAAGTAAAATAGCAATAAACTGGGGGATCCTCTACACTACATAATATTATTAAAAGTTTCAGAGAATGCACGATACAAGGCCGGAAACCAATACTGTCTGACTGTGATCTTTGGGCCTTCAGGTGGCACTCAATTAAAAACGATCCTGTAGTGCAAATCACTGCCTGTGAACACAGTTCAAAGCATCTACAAATGCAACTTTAACAAAGAAGAAACAATATATAAACAAGATCCAGAAACGCTGCTGCCTTCTCTGGGCCTGAGCTCATTTAAGATGGACCGAGACAAAGCAAAAAAGTTGCATTCTCTGGGCTTAGGAGGAGAGGGACCAGCCGGCTTGTTATCAGCACACAGCTCAAAAAAGGTGCATTAGTGCACATGGTACGGATGACTTGCACATCTGTAAAGGGCCCATTAATGCTGAATGATATATGCAGGTTTTAGAGCAACACATGCTTCCATCTAGATTACAGCTTTTTCAGGGAAGGCCTTGCTTACTTCAGCAAGACAATGCCAAATCACATTCTGTAAGTATCACAGCCACATGGCTCCGTAGTAAAAGAGTCTAGGTGCTAAACTGGCTTGCCTGCAGTCCAGACCTGTCACCACTGAAAACATTTGGAACATTAGAAAACAAAAATAAGACAAAGGAGACCCCAAACTGTTGAGCAGCCAAAATCCTATATCAAGCAAGAATAGAAAAACATTTTTTTGAAATGTGTTGCTGGCATCAAATTCAAAATCGGCATATATTTTCCAAAAACTATAAAATTTCTCAGTTTCAATATTTGATTTGTTGTCTTTTTATTATTTTCTACTAAATATAGGGTTTACATCATTTGCACATCACTGTATTCCATTTTTATTTACATTTTGCACAGCATCCCAAGTTCCCAACATCATAAAACAGGGTTGTACTTACAAACACAAAGGTTTTGTTGTGTGTACAGTCTTGTTTTGCAGCAATACATTACTGAATTAAATGTAATGTAGATGAACAGAATGTATAGCATGTTTATGGGATGTATACTGTTAATCCATAATACAGTGAATGTACAGCAAAACAACAATAATGCCACACTGAAAAAGTGATGCACTCATGCATGTCTTTGAAATCTGAAGAATTCCGGATTTTAGTTTTTAGTTTTAACTTTATTCTCAATGTTATACAGCTTTCTCAGTCATTTTACAGTGTTCTAGAGCTCTGTTCCTCATTGTAGACACATCTAAAATGTCATTCAAATAATTAGCATTTTACAACTTGCTAATTATTTGAAACCTGTAAGGCTGTACAGGATTATTTTATTAGAATTATTTTATATTTTTCAGCTTGCTTACTTTTGTACATATTTTAATCTAGTAAATTTGATACACCATTTTTAAGTGCAGACTAAGTGTTAATCTTAAATGCAGTATAGTCAAATAAATTACTCCATAAAGTCTTTCCAGGCTGGCAGTCTACATTCAGGACACTGACCACAAGTGTGTGACTAATGCAGTCAGCTGGACACATGAGGACACACACTGGAGTGAATGAAAGAGGAATGAAAGAGAAGCAAAGCTGCAGGCTTACACACAAGTGGGGGAGAGCTTACTGTGTATGTGTGTGTGTGTGTGTGTGTGTGTGTTTGTGTGTTTGTCTTCACTTCTTTCCTCTCCATCCTACTCTTTCTTTTGTTTGTTCTCCTCTCTTCTTTCTCTCCTTCTCTTCTCTTCTCTTGTCATCTTCTCCTTCTTTCTCTCCTCTCTTCTTTCTCTCCTTCTCTTCTCTTGTCATCTTCTCCTTCTTTCTCTCC